AGGTGCGTTCCCCTAAGTCTTCCTACCAATATGACCAAGTTGCAAAAACAAGGTCAAACAACTTCTATACAACGAAAAGATACTGCGAACATGCAAAAGGCCATACCATCTTGATATTCATACCTTCGCTTAGATATTAATTTTGATAGGAAACATGGATTGGTAGCATGAGATAAACCTCATCACCTTATGCGACCTATGATAGACAAAGGTTTTTCTCAAGAGCCTTTGGGTGTCGAAACCTAATTAATAAAAATATGCATTCTTACAGAATCGAACAGTTGCCGTTCTGACCAAATAAATTCTACGAGAGAATCTTACTAAAGCTGGAAAGCAAAAACACGTGATTTGAGTCAACTGCACATGTCAAAGCTTCGGAAAATGAAGTTGCATCATCATATGGATTAATATGACTGGCAAGTATATCCTAAAAGGGAAGCAATAAAGTTACAAAAAAAACTATAGTAAGCGAGATGGGTAAATCACCAAGCGTTTCTCAATAATTGAGCTAGCAGGCTATATAAAGCATGTAAAAAATAATCAAATTCCTAACAAAAAAAGCGAATTTAATCTTCTAATCTATATAATGAATAAAGAAAATGAGAAGATAAGCTGTATCAATACTTGTAGATACAATTCTCACAGATTTTATGCCCTGTCCAACTCACTTAGATGTAGCTTAGAAAGGAGGATTAATAGCAAGCAACATCAAAAATATGAATTGAAAGATTAAAAAAGTTAGTTTAAGATATGGTCACAAAAGCACTAAAATGTGGGATTTCAAAAGCAGACCATAGATAGAGTTGTCTTTGAAGCCGAACTGGTGCGTGTTGGACAAGGTTCTTGATGGACAATATCCTGGTGCTTGGAGGTTCGTTTGTTTAGAGCTGAGCTCAGATAAACCATCGTGGATTCTGCTCTCTGCGGTTTCAGTTGCTGAGGCGACGGCGGCGGATGCTGTTCCAGTTGTTGTGATGACGCTAGTGTTCGATGTTTTGGTTGCCATGGCGAAGTGGTCTGATGGATTCGATGTGGTAGTTTGCAACGAGATAGCTCCGAATTGCAGATGCTGGGTGTCGGTAGCTTGCATTTCTGAGGCTTCTCTGTCTTTTCGGAGCGCCAAGCCTGCATTGGCCTTGTGTGGAGATTTCCTGTCTCCGAGGTTACGCAAAGAAAAGGTTTGCCGCAGATTGGCAGATCTATCAACGCAGGAGCTGAGGAAGATAGCTCGGCGAGGCCGACTCCCACAAAATCCGAGCGACGGTTCAATGCCGATTTGCGTATTGAGTTCTCGTTGATTGAGCCCGGCTCCCAGTCGAGAGCCAATGCAGCTAGAGTGGAGACCTGAAAACGAAGTTCTTAAGATGGGAAAAGTCGAATAAAAATAGGCGATAATTAGGACAAAAGTGAAAAGTGCATGAGCAGACAGAACAAATCAATAAGTGGTATATAATTAGGCGAACAAAGACTAAATATGGCAAAGATCAAAACAGTTAGGGGAACATTGCTTAAAAATCTAGTCGGCAAAAAGAAATTAGGTAAATGAAAATGCAAAAAACTTTACAAATAAAAGATTATTGAAATTATGCAAGGGATTCTACGCAATGAGGAGAAGT